TGTTACTTCCCTGTTATTAATATTTCTTATTTATTTCTGTGCAGATGGCTTCAGATGAAGAGCCTAGTATAGGATTGATAAAAAATATTTTTAACAGGCGCACCAAGAAGATCACTACAGCTGGAACAGCAAGGACAGTACGTACTGAGGGTGCTACACACGCTCAGCCTGCTACACAGCCTCAGCCTGCTACATAATCTTTACCCACTTCTGGAGCCAGTAGCCCGCAGTTCTACTCAGCAGACCCCCGATTTCCTTCACCAGATCCCGAGCAGAGTACTCCTTTCTACCCATACTACGCACCCCCATCTTATGTCGATGCCCCTCCTACTAATCCATTTCCACCATATGCTCCACCATACTATCCCCCACCACCCCATCAACCTTCTTCAGCTGGATCTTCGACGGCAGCTGGACGTCCTTCGACACCAACTGGACCTTCGACACCAATTGCACCAGAGCAGGCGACAGATGGTAGAATGTTGATAGCACCTGAGGGTGACACGTACGTACTTCATCTTTTATTTAAGCTAATGAATATTTATATTATATAATTGTTTCACATAAAAAATTTTTGTATGTTCTACCCATCAAAACAACTGACACATAAAATACGGGACATCATACGGAGTAGGTCTGATGCTCCTTATGTTTCTTGGAAGAAAGTCCCGAAAGAAGTCCGGGAGATGAGTTTGAGGTATTTTGGGGTTTTAGTTTTTATGTAAAATGATTAATTCTTTTTTACTTAAGCTAAAAATCTTATATATTATATATCATATGTATTTGAATGTAGAAGGAATTTTGTTGGCTGGCCCAACACAATGACAATATTAGAAAGAATTTTGAGAAGCGTGGGTCTACTCGGATGCACGACATGTTCACAGATATTAGAAAGTCTGGGAAGCGACCATTATGAATTGGAGAGGGTATATGGGCTGAGTTGAACACTGCTTGGGGCAGCGAAGAGTATACTAGGAGGAGGGATCAAAATCGATAGAACAGAGCTTCTGATGTTGGGGGATTGGTCAGTTCACTTCATACTGACGGCTCGGTTCCACATATTGAGCACAGGCGTTGTTTGGTAATGAATTTTAATTATTTTTTTTAAGTTTTTCTTTAATTCAAATATTAATAAAATTCTCTTAATTCTAACAAAAAGAGATGCTTGGTAGAGAACCAACTCCTGTGGAATTACATAATCGCACTCATAAGCGATAGGAGGATCAACAATGGATTGATGAGAGAGCAAGAAAAGCCCATGTAAGTATATATTTATATGTGCTTAATATTTCATATATTTAGTTTAATTATATATATTTATATTCTACCTTCACAGGAGGAATATACATGGCTTCGAGAGGCTCATGCTGCATCAGGTGAGGGCTCTTCTGGCGGCTCTGTGGAGTTTTTTGAGTATCGCATCTGGTCTCAGGCCGTCGGAGGAATGCAGCATGGTAGAGTTTATGGTTTAGGTGCGCAAGCTCAGGCATACGAGGGGATGACCTCCTCTACTGCATCCAGCTTCGCATCCAGTTCTCATGACTCCTTACAAGCTCAACAAATAAGTGCCCTTCAAGCTAAGCTAGAACAAGTAAGAAAATCACAAGCTGATTGGCAAGCTCAGTTGCAAGCACAGGTTTAAATACATATGCAAATGTAGGAGCAATAGAATCAGTTGTTGGATGAAATGCGTAGAATGAGGGAGCAAATGAGTGGAAAAGAGGCAGATCCAACTGAGGAGGAGTCCACGGAGTTAGAGGAGTTTAGTTTAGTTTACATGAACTTGTTTATTTATGTGAACATGTGTTATTGAACAATATGTGATGTTTTTAGTTATTTCCGTAAACTTGTTTATTTCTGTGAACATTGATATTTATTTTTTTTGAGTATATATTGAAGTTGTTTATATCTGTTATGTGTTTAGCGGTCATCTGGAAGTGGTTTCGTATAGGTTTGCAGGTGTGAAAATTTCATTGTTGGCTGGGAAGGCAATTTTTTTTTGTCAATGCTACAGGTTTCTGACGGATTATGCATCGGAAAGTCGACGGAAATGACGATACAACGAGCTGGATCGGGCATGCTGGCGTCTTTAGGTGCACCGAAAATTACAGGCGCATATTCCGGCGTTGTATCCGCCGGAAAATTCCGACGCCACTTTTGCACCGGAAATAAGCCGTAGCTTATTTACGGTGACATTCCGGCGACTTATGCGTCAGAAGTTTCCGTCGAATTCATACGACGTAAACTACCGACGCATTAGTCGTCGGAATTATGGAATGAAAATCGACATCTTCCATGTCATATTTTGCGCCGGTAAAGCGCCGGAACGTGTGCCGAAATTGTTACTGACGGCATATAAACGTCGGTAAATATTTAGCGACGCGAGCCAAACCGGCGGAGGCAAATCCTACGAAAATGCATCGGAAACTGAGGATTTTCGTCGGATTTCACATGTTACCGGCGGATACAGTCCGCCGGTAACGACGTGTTTTCCTATAGTGATGTATCCCGAATCAAAAGTGGAGAATGATCTATATTTAGATTGTTATTGCCTTTTTGAGGTCAAGATTAAGATATTGCCTAAAGAATAGAAGTCCAAATATGGATGTGTGTAATGCTTGTAATTGATTGGAAGTATCTTTGTTATCACTAGAATTTTTCTAAAAATCATCTTGATATTGAAAGTATTGGAGGATCTTTTTTATCACAGTTGGAGTCAAAGTTGCCCCCTAATCTGCATCTGATTCTTATGAAATTGATGCGACAATGACTGATATCAGGAAGTTGACATGAATGACCTTCCGAGATTGGAACAAAATTTTCACCCCCAGTTGGGAACCATGCACGTTCCCATAAATGGTGCCAAACTATTGCGTCCTGAAGTATTCGCGGTGGTAGAGAAATATAAAGTTTAATGTCTTAGCTTTGTACGAAAATCCAGCACACACACATATTAACAGAGAGAGTCTAGCATTTATGAGACACCAATTCTTTTACGTGGAAAACCCTTGAAAAAGAGGGAAAACCCATGGGGACTAGCCTAGTTTAAATGAATCCACTAGTATTACAGTTGATTACAAAATGAGGCACTTCAATGGGAGAAGGCGTTAATTTGATGTACATCTTATAGAGTACATTACATGATGTAAATACAAAGAGTCATTGTTAATGTGTTCATCGGGTCAGAAGGACCATAGTCTGGTGACAGAGGTCAGAAGAATTGTAGTTGGCAGACGATGGAGGCTAGAAGGACTGTAGTCGGTGGGCCACGTAAGTCAGAATGACCATTGTCGGCTAGTGACGGAGGTCAAAAGGACTATAGTCGGTGGGCGATGTAAGTTAAAAGGACCATAGTCGGTGGGCGACGGAGGTCGGAAGGACTGTAGTCGTTGGGCAACGTAAGTTAGAAGGATCATAGTCGGCTGGTGACAGAGGTCGGAAGGACTGTAGTCGGTGGGAGACGTAAGTCAGGAGGACCATAATCGGCGAGAGACTGAGGTCGGAAGGACTGTAGTCAGTGGGCAACGTATGTCAAAAGGACCATAGTCGATGGGCGACAGAGGTCGGAAGGACTGTAGTTGGTGGACGACGTAAGTTAGAAGGATCGTAGTCGGTGGGCGACGGAGGTCAAAAGGATTGTAGTCGGTGGGTGACATAAGTTAGAAGGATCGTAGTCGGTGGGCGACGTAAGTTAGGAGGACCGTAGTCGGCTGGTGACGGAGGTCAGAATGACTATTGTCTGATGGCGTCTGGTAAAAATCCAATAATGGACAAAAATCCAGCATCAGATAGATGTCTTGTATAAGTCCGACAGCAGGCAGAAGTTCGGTGTCGGGTAAAAACTTGGCGATGAGTAGAGGTCTGGCGTTGGATAGAAGTCTAACGTCAGTTGGCGACCGAGGAGAACTCCAGCATCACTTGGAGTTCGGGTGAAACTCCGGCATTACTTGGAGGTCGGGCGGAATTCCGGCGTCACTTGGATGTCGAGCGGAATCCTGGCGTCACTTGAAGGTTGGGCAGAATTCCGGCTTCACTTGGAGTTCGGATGGAACTCCAGCGGTTGTCGAGGAGGAGTTTCTTCCCTCATATCCTTCTTCTCTTCTCTTCTCCTTCTTCTCTTCTTCTTTTTGCTTGGGTCCCCTCTCATGAGAAATGAGTGGTCTATTTATAGATATTATGGAGTGGCATATCTTGTAAATAGGTGAGAGATCAAGAGTAAATAGGGAGTGGTCGGATGGACGGCCGATATTGAATCCCTTGATCGTGTATCGTTCGTCAGACATTAGAAGGTCTTAACGATATCAGAATTTGGCGATCTTGGGCTCGTTGGATTCGTCTCGTCGAGCTACTCGATTTGACTATAAGAACATCATATTTTAAAATTGTTTTGTAACTCAAATTATGGTTTGAACTTTCCAACAGCGTTTTGGGTGCTTGATTCGGAATCATTTGGGCTCGGATTGAGTCGAATTTGGCGTTGTTGAGTTCGTATTTTTGAGACGCTCAGATTGACTGTAACTTCGCTGAAATCAGAGTTCAGCTGATCCCAGATTTAATTTTTGATGTTTCCGACTTGATTTTGCCTCGAGATTAGTGGTCCGATCAAGATAATTAATTGATGATACATCACATATGATCTTAAAAAAAATTAAAAATTTTGATTTGACATGATTAAATTTTGATTATAAATTTATAATACTCCAACTTAATTTATTCTATATAAAATCAAAATTATAAATTGATGAATAAGATAAATAAAATAATAATAAATAATAATAATATATAAAAAATGGCAGAGGCCCCTAAGCTCCGTCATATATATATATATATATATATAATAATCTATGCGTTTGTGTTTTTTTTTAATATTATAATCTATGCGTTGTGTGTTTTTTTTTTTTTTTTTTTTGAGTGACAGATGATTCCCAGTAATATTGCTACGTGGAATATTGCAATTATAGAATAATTAATGAGAGCAGCTAGTTGGATACGAGACTTACCATGAGAACAGCTTTGATCATATCTCTTGTGAGAAGAAACCCTAAAGAAGAATCCATTTCCTCTTGACATTTAAGAAGGATATCAAGCAAACAGCTATCTGCATTAATGTCTTCTCCCATACTACTCTTCTCCTCCTCTCGGCCTCTTCTTCTCTTCATCCCTTCCTCTATCTCCTGTTCAAAGACCCGATCCATGGCCCGAAATGCCTTCTCTAACCTTCCACGCCAGCTCGTTAGCCCATCTAACCAAGCCAATGAAGGGAAAAAATCGCCCACGCATATCTCCGAAGTGAAGGCGACTACCTCCATGATCATCTCATGGTGCTGACTCCTGCCGCAGTCGCCGGGGACGGCCGATATCCGCTTACCAAACACCTTTCTGTATATCAAGTTGTTGAACAGGCAGAGCATCATCGTGCTCAAGTTGAAGCCATTGCCGCCCGCTGAAACCATGGATATGGTTTTCAGCAGAGCTCCGACCTCTTCTTCACGAACGGCTTTGAAGTCCTGTTTAATGAGAGATGGAAGAAGGATTCTTTATCGTAAATTTTTTTTTTTTTTTTAAGTCTTTGGCTTATCATAATTAGATGTTATGAAATCAGATATAAAAAAAGTCTTTGGCTATCTAAATTCTTATTAAAGTAATTAAAAGATTGATTTTTTTAGCGACAATGGATGGAAATACGTACTAACTAATAATTGAATTAAAAAATGGTAATTACCTGTACTCTCGCAGGGCTGAAGATCTCGGCGTTGACAAACCTTCTGATTCGCCGCCAGTGATCATTATAAGGGGAGAAGGCGATGTCGAGGCCGCCGTAGGAGAAGCGGTCGGTGGTGGCGAAGAACGGGCGGCTGCAGAAGACGACATCCTGTGCCTTAAGGATCTCAGCGGCAGTTTCCGGCGAGGAGGCGATGATGGTCGGGACTTGGCCTAGTTTGAGGTGGATGAGCGGACCGTACTTGTGTGAGAGTTTGCGGAGGGTGATGTGAGGGAGGTCGCCGAGGAGCTGATGGAGGTTACCGATGAAGGGGAGTGGTGGTGGGCCCGGAGGAAGTCTCCGGTGAGGATTCAACGCCCTTCCCCTTCTTCTTAGATGAACAATGAAGAGGAGTAAGAACATGAAGGGAATCCATAGGGGCGTCATGCTTTGAGTTTGCAATGGCTAATAATGAAGCTGAGATTTTATGTAAGGTTCGGGTCAGAATATTGATTTGGGTAAATTTTTAAAATAATTATCATTAAAAATTTAATAAGTTATTAAACCAACAAAAAAATTAAATTTAGAATCAGGCAAATTAGCTCATTCAATGGGCGACTTGCTCAAGTTATAAAATATTAAAAAAAGATTTTAGGGGAAAGAAATTTAGAGAGAAATAAATTAAAAATAGAAAAATAAAGTATGAGATATAAATAAAAAATTCAAAACAATTTTTTTTTCATGTTGTTCAGGAG